ATCCCACGTGTCTCTGCCACAGGCCTAGGCTAATTTAAATATTAATGACCGGATCTACATTTGCTTGCCATGAGTGCGTTTGCGTCTCTCCCTGGGATGCCCAAGCGACGCATTTTTAGAATAGATTTATCCTGTAGAACGAATTTTCCGGCGAACGGGTTTATAGGGGGACGAATTTTCCGAACAGATACCCCTTACGTATAAATTGGGGTTTGCTTTTTCCGCATTTAACCAATAAATGTGTAATTATATAGAGTGACCCCCACCCCAAATTTCATATCATGTGTGACCCCTAAATATTGCTGACTTACCCCGGCATAAAATAGTATATTGCTGTACGTGACATCCCTATAGTGCTGAGTTATGTTATGATGTTGTGTTCGGAAAGTATGGTCTACAGGATAAATATGTTCGGAAAATATGGTCTACAGGATAAATATGTTCGGGAAGTATGGTCTACAGGATAAATATGTTCGGAAAGTATGGTCTACAGGATAAATATGTTCGGAAAGTATGGTCTACAGGATAAATTTGTTCGGAAAGTATGGTCTACAGGATAAATATGTTCGGAAAGTATGGTCTACAGGATAAATATGTTCGGAAAGTATGGTCTACAGGATAAATATGTTCGGAAAGTATGGTCTACAGGATAAATATGTTCGGGAAGTATGGTCTACAGGATAAATATGTTCGGAAAATATGGTCTACAGGATAAATATGTTCGGGAAGTATGGTCTACAGGATAAATATGTTCGGAAAATATGGTCTACAGGATAAATATGTTCGGAAAATATGGTCTACAGGATAAATATGTTCGGAAAATATGGTCTACAGGATAAATTTGGTCGGAAAGTATGGTCTACAGCATAAATATGTTTGGAAAGTATGGTCTACAGGATAAATATGTTCGGAGAGTATGGTCTACAGGATAAATATGTTCGGAAAGTATGGTCTACAGGATAAATATGTTCGGAAAGTATGGTCTACAGGATAAATATGTTCGGAAAGTATGGTCTACAGGATAAATATGTTTGGAAAGTATGGTCTACAGGATAAATATGTTCGGAAAGTATGGTCTACAGGATAAATATGTTCGGAAAGTATGGTCTACAGGATAAATATGCTCGGAAAATTTGGTCCCGCGACGAACATGTTTGGAAAATCAGTCTGTTTGAGCTGACATAATAA